TTTCAATTTGCAAAAAACTGAAAATTAAGTTTTTGATTAAACTTCGGGGACCAATTTAAAATTGAACTTTCTAATTTTTTTAAAAAAATTAAGAAAATCGTTAGACTGGTTTTTAATATCCCATAAAGGGCCATGTAAAACAATTGACTATCGCGGCAAAACGATCGTAGAAGACAACTCCGCTGTCTAAAAAAAAATTACTTGAATCAAGAAACAATTTTTCTGGGTGTGATTCAGACCGTGGAAATTTTTTCGGCTCGCGACCAAACCCATCAGCACAAACAGCTTCATCGTAGAGGCCTTGTGTGTCATTGCTCTTCTTACTCTTACCCTCTCGCGGTGGACTGTATCCTTGGCCGCGCACCCTCGGGTGGCTCCTGCGCACACGCGGGGTACAACCGTACATACCCGCAGGGAGAGGGGAGCAGAGGGGGTCCTGGTGCCGCACACGTGGCGCGTGGATGTCCCCGGATTGATATCCGCGGCGTCGCCGACACGCGCCCGCGGCCGGCATAGACGAAGGGGAATAAGGCGGGGGGAGGAGGGCAAAGCAGCATAGAATATTTGGTGTTTGAGGACACGTGGTGGCTCCTATGCGGCCGCTTTCCCCATTGTGTGTGTTTCGACGCTCCGCGAGGGAAAGACTGACGACGTGTCGACGACACCGCGCCAATGTGAGGAGCCGCATCAAACAACGACGTCGCGTGGACGTCAGCGACAAACTCCGTTCGTGACGGTGACGTGTCCCTGCATTGCGGCAGTTGAAGACTAGCAACTAGTTTATTACAATATTGGGTGCATCATACAAATGTTTCTGCAGAAGCGTCTAACCTGTTGGCCGTGTGGTGCGGAACTGCTAGACGGTGTGGTCGTGGTAGCCCCGGTAAGCCCTGCGCTGTGCGCGTATGCACTGGAAACGCAAGTGCGTGAATGTCGCTCACTTGCAGGTGTGTGAATACCCATTCGTACACCTGGGGATAAACGTGTGAATTTTCTAGGTGAGCGAAATTCACACACTTGCGTTTCCAGCGTGCATTTGCGGCAATACGAATACGACACATTCGGACCCAATAATGAATAATAATATACAATAAAATGATGTGTCTCTATTTTAAGATATTTTTGTACGGTGAAATTAGGCATTACTCCTGTTTTCCTGAAACTGATGTGGACACTTTTTGCTCCTCTTCCTCGCTAAGCTAATATATGCATATTAGCGAGTAGGAGAGTAATTGCTTTTAGGAATGGACTTATTGCTATGCTTCCTTACGAAAGAAGAAAAAAATGGATGAGCGAAGGGAAAAAAAGAAATATTTTTGCTAATTTTATCTCCTGAGCCTGCGGGGCTGGCTGAAGGCGTCACGCAGGGGGCAATGCATAGGCCACAGTAACAGAACCGGCTCGGTGCGCTGCGCAGGTGCGGCGTCCGCGAGCTGAATAAAGATAATGGAATTGAAACGTCGGCTGTTTTTTGACGTTTTCGCGCAGTGGCCACCTATCCTTTCCTGTTATTAGCGAAATGGGCAGATTAACGCCCACACGCACAATATAGTTGTTTGGCTCGCAGAATTGCAGTGTGGAGGCAAGTTTTATAGTAAATAGTAAGTAGTTTGGGAACTTCACGAAATTTCAAGAACCTGTTGTGGAAAAATTGGCACAATTGGTGATTTTTTGTAGAACTCTTCTTTGTTATCAAAATATTGATTATATTCGGACGCCTGACCGGCTACTAGATATTTGGACTATTCTTCAGTTGCTCCGTATCGAGCAAGTGCACGTTGGAAATTCACATCACTAATAACAGTGCAAATAAAAGTGCATTTTTATCCCACAGACTATGGACTTTTTTTGTGCTGCTTAAACGCGAGGTGACAAATTGGTAATTTTGACGTGGCGATAAATTTGCTACACTTTGTGCGTTGTGCACTAAAACACGCCCATCGTCTGTGGGTGAAATTGCACCTCTCCAGTCTTTGCAGAACCTTATTGGCCGCCAGCCGCCACACGCTTGCAGTGTGTTCCTGACCCCGGCCGCCCGGTCGGCGTCCTGTCCCTGCCCGCCGCGCTGGCCGTTCCACCCGCGGGCTGTTTTTCCTCCAACGCGAAGCAACGCACTCTATAATTTGGTTGCAAATCATAGCACCGCCTCGGCGCGGCGTGGCGTAGTGTGGCGCGCGTGGTGAGCACAGCCATGGCACCGCGGATCACTGTAGCATTTCGCTATTGTTCCGGGAAGTGCACGGCAGACTCTTGTGCCCCCAGCGAAATGTTCACATGCCCAGCAGCTCGCTATGTATGGCTGCCAAACAAAAATGTGGACTGCACTCAAGCACTGACTGCACATGAACATGAACTTTGCATCGCAACGTGCTTAGTCCTCTGCCTCTTTCAAGTCTGCATTTCAAACATGGGCTGCGCTGTGTTTTTCTTTTCTGGTTTTTCGCCAGCACCATGCTTGGTTTGCAGTATACTTTAGTGTATACAGTGTCGTAGCCTGCACAATAATTGACCCTTTTATTTGTTTTGCAGGCTGGCCACCCGCCGAGCTATCTCAGCATCGCGCGCGGGCTGGCAACACTGGGAGCGCACACCCTGCAACACCCACCAAGAGTCGGTCGCGCCAAAGTCATTCCTGGCTTCGTGACGCAAAAGGAAGGTAAAGTTTAATTTTATTGTCTTTTTGAGGGCAGCTTTTCGTGGAAGCCCCGTGGGCCGCAGTCTGGCGGGTCCTGGACCTCGGTCCTTTGGCTGGGCAGGACGACAGTCCGACGAGGCTGCTCCCGTGTTCCTTTTGCTCTCACCCCACGATGCACATTCTCGTTTCTACGTCGAATCCATTTCATCGGGATAGTCGAAATACCTCCTGTACTAACTCCTCACCGAACACTCGTGACGCCGGTTTAGCCGCCCAATATTCGAAAATTTTTATGGCTTCCGAGATAGGCCCGTCTGGCGAAAAAGGACCTCTTTTGTGGTCGACATTCAGGTTGTCCACCCCACCGCACTCTATCCACGCCGGTCACTCCTTTCGCGGCACCCCTTCTGAAGCTGATGAGGTTCGATCCGGCCCTAGCTCCTGCAATGTGTGTAGGTTTTAGTTGAGTTATATACTCACGAGCCTTCTCTTCCCCGGACTGTCATCTCTCTCTCTCTCTCTCTCTCTCTCTCTCTCTCTCTCTCTCTCTCTCTCTCTCTCTCTTCCACTCTCCCAGTCTCTTTCCTTCCCTCTGAGTGTGTCTCGCCCTGTCCCTTCCTTTCGCTATCTCCCTCTCTCTTTTACTTGCAGTCGTAAAAAAGTCTTCCCGGTGGACGTCGCTGTGCTCAAACAAGGCCGTCCACCAATTGTGCCGCATCAGGACCACACTCTGAAAAAAGGGACACAATTTTTAAGGCAGAAGATGCTGGCCAGTACCAAGCAAGTCGACCTTCGGGTGAATAACGCTCACATTTGTAGCTATCTTACCCAGATATCTGAGATCATGTTTCACAGTCCTCAATGCGTATGAACATTATTTGATGAATTCTATATCATTTTATTTGATAGCGAACTAGCGATGAATGTTTGGATACACTGATAAACTAAGTGTTCAACTGCTCAACACTTGTAAGTGTGTAACTGCAAGTTGAATGCTTCCAAGTGTGCAACTTGGTAGGTGTGCACTTGCAAGTGTGCAACTCCTCGGTTGAGCACTTCCTACACAGTGAGCGTTCAATCTTAGGAAGTGTTCAACCGAGGAGTTGTACACTTGCAAGTGCTCACCTACCGAGTTAAACACTAGCAAGGGTATGACTACGGAGCTGCAAACTTGCAAGTATTGAACTTGCAATTGCACACTTACAAGTGTTGAGCAGTTGAACTCTTAGTTTATCAGTGTACCAAATTTGATATGTTGTCGACGATTCATTCTCTTTGCACCTACAGTCATGTTGTGCCCCATCCCTCCATCTCCCTCTTTGCCATGTATCTTTCTCTATCTTGAGGTTTCGGTAACTTTCCGTACATCATGAAGTGATCATGCCATCCAAATCATCACATCGGGAATGATGGTATTTTTATGAGCAAAAGTGGTCTTCTAACTTCTCCTTGAGTGCTCTTTTACACGAAACAAAACAACGCAATTCCCTGGCTGGGCGAGTGCAGTTACTTTTACACCGCACCCATAATCAATTAGTTCACGAGAGTCCCAGACGGCAATAAAAATCGTTTTTCTTTCTTTTTTTCGCCACTTGTTTTGCGTTTCGTTTGATCTCACCGGAGTGCCGAAGATAGTACAGTTTGTGCGGCCGCTGTTCATCCCGCAGTAGTAGGAGTAGTTGTTAGCGTACCGGCCGTTGTCGCCCGCACAGGGGCGCCACCGTTGAAGGGGACGGACGGGCGGCAGATTCAATTACATCGTAGCATCGCGATGTGACTGTGTCTGATTGAATCACGGCGTTTGCAGAAGGCGGTGCCCCGATGCAGAGGGACAGGAAAGCGGGGGCGGTGCGAGGGGGGGGGGGGCATCAAGCACACGGGGTTTACATTTCCCCTCACGTTCGGAGCCCAGCCGGCCCGGCCCGTTCGGTCCAGTACGGTCCTTCCAGGCCCTTGAGTGGCCCACGGGAGGTGTGCGATCGCCATCACCCGCACGGGCCGAAGGGTCCAGCCCAGGCCGGAGCAGGGTGACGATGACCAGGCGACAACTCTGTGTACAACTCCATTCTGTAACCTGACCAAACATGACCTGAAGTTCAACATAGCTGCCGTTACCTTTCTTATTTGTTTTTTTGTGCTCCTGCCCTGCACTATCAAGTGGGTTTCAGCCGAGGTTTCAGTTGGCAACCACTTGCAAGTTTTTAACACCACTTCGCATTCAAATTTCAGCCTGACTCAGAAATTATAGTGGATGTGAAATTTTTGACCTAGAAAACCCCATAACTAGAAAGAAGTGGACGTCTGTACGGTTATTTTGACGCATGATCAATTACAGTGGCTATTTGAATCAAACTAAATCCTGATTGAACGGTGTTGAACCAGTGTGAGTGTGATTACATTTATTTTGGATGCACTAAGGAAACCGTTCAAGCTGGATAGTTTGATCCAAAGCCATCACCGTAGTTGATCCATGCGTCAAAATAGCCTTACAGACGTCCGCTTTTTTTAAATTATGGGTTTTTCTAGGTCAAAACTGTCAAATCCGCTCTAATTTTGTGAGTCACATGGATTTGTAGACCTAAGGTTTCAAAGCAAAGTGATACACGAATATTTGCAGGTACTTGAACGAAGGAATTATTAATCACTTGCAAGTGCTGGAGGTTGCAACGAGTAAATTAACTCTTGGGGGTGTTCAACTGAGCTGTTTATTTCGAAGATCCCATTTTAGCTCCTAGAACAAAATCCCGTAAACTTTGCCAAAGCAGGTCAAATCAAGGACATAGATTTGTAAGCGCTACCGTACCGTACATTGAACTTTCAAAATTGTTTCACATAATCATACATAACCGGTTTCCTTTTTTGCTGACCGTTCAACACTCTCACCCCTCACTTTCATAATTCACATTGTGGCCGTTCAGCACAACTCTGAGTGATAAGATTTCCCGCCAACTTATTCGTAATTATTGTCAACCATCATTGTTCCTAACTTTATGTTTCGCATATTTTTTTTCCGGAGGGCCCGGTGCCCCTGGCTGGCACGCACTTTGGTCCTGGAGTACCCGCTCCCGTCCCGGCGCGGCCCCGCTCCCCGCCACGCTCCGCTGCGCCGCGCCACACCGCGCCACGCCACGCCGTGTTTTTGTATGCAAATGGATTTCAGGAAACCAAATATCGTGGGCATCGCGCCGCGCCTCGTGTGTCGGGCCGCGTGCGAAAGTGCCCCCCCAGATGGATACAGTAGCGCCTTGCGAGAGGGAGCGAGAGCCGTGCAGGGCACCTCGGCCACAACCCCGGTAGGTACAGAGCGATACCCCCTTCCACTTCAATGGCAGCGAGAGCGGCTGTGCGATAGGTACTATGTATGAGGGGTGCAGCAGGGCCCAGTGGGGGCCCGGAATACACTGGTGCAGAAGGGGGTGGCTATTACAGCAGCAAGCAGTAGCACTTTTCTGCTCAGTAGCCATAATATCTCCACTCGCGCAAACCAAACGTATATAGTAAGTTGGTATTTTGCCCCCCCCCCCCCCCCCCCCGTTTTTGAGTGTCGAGCATCGGTCTGCTGGCTACTTTTTGACGTGACGGGTGCCGTGTAAGGATGACGGTGATGACGACGATGACGACGACGACGACGATGATGATGATGATGATGATGATGATGATGATGATGATGATGATGATGATGATGATGATGATGATGATGATGATGCTGATACCACCATAAGGGGGCATCAAAAAATTCTGCTGGTGCTGCTTCTCGACCGGGAGGACGTTGGTCGGATAAAAAGAATATAAAGAGATGGCATCCTGCAATATCTGCAGCTGCTCTTTTGTGATCCGCGCGGCTCGGGCTCTACTACGGCTGGGTGTCGGACTGACGGGGCCGGCTGACTTTTACGACACGAACACGACTATCAGGGCCATTTGATAGATAGTCTCTCCTGCCTCGGTCCCCGTCGGTCCCCGCTGGTCAGCAGTGACGGTGGGAGACGGCTGCGGTGGCGGGGGAGGGGGTAATAAAGCGCGACCAGGGAGGAGGAGGACCCGGGGAAGAGAGCGAGAGGAGCGAGAGCACGGTGAGGGACCGAGGGACGAAGAGAGAGAGGGAAAGGGGCGGAGGGCTCTACTTTCTGGTAAAAGCGCAGGGAGTGGCGTTTTGTACAAGGACAACATGACGGAGCGGATATCGACACACATACACACACACAGACACACACTGAATTTGAGAGGCCAGTGCACCCTTCCTCTCTAACACTCTGAAGCACACCAACCCCTAACTTGCCCCTGTGGTCGTGGTGGTGGCCCCACTGGTACGTTCATTCACCCTCCCCCCCCCCTCTCTCTCCCTCTCTCTCTGACAACCCCTCACCTACTCGCTCACGTTCCCTCTTCATACCTCTACTCCCACCCCTCTCTTCCTTTCGCACCCTCCCGCGCTATCCTTCTCTTGCCTTTCACCCACCCCTATCTCCCCCCCCTCTCTCTCTCTTGCTTCGTGGCGTGGCGGTGCGTCATTTCTGAATGGCCCCTAATCACCTGAAGGGCCACGTTGCACAAACATTTGTTCTCTGCCGTCAAAGTAGCGCTATATAGTAGTGATCGGTGTTGGTAGGCCACTGGGGGCGGGCGGCCGCGGCCGTGCGTCGATCTTATATGCGTCTAACGCGACCTTTATAGGATGATATCACGCAGAGTTTGCCCGCCTTTCCCGAAGTCTGTTTCGAACTACTATTGTGAACCAACAACATATTGTGACACGATAGTTGGTACCGACCTAGGTCTACCTACCTAGTAGAAATTCTGCTCAATTCAGATACCAGGTTAGTTGTGTTTTGGGGACGTTGTTTATATTTGATTTGTAGTGGACGTTAGGAGGTTCGAGCTAAAAATTGTTTTTTTCTTTTTCAAGTACATTTTGCTTTTTTGAAGTGCATAATGATGACGTGAGCATGCATTATGATCGAATTTACTTTCAAATGTCAATATTTCGAATGAGAGAGACATCTTATTCCAAAGACAAAATTGCCTTGTTCGACAGTGAACTTGATCTTGTGCCAGCATGCCTTTGTAACAAGAAACCATTTTTCAGGGTGTAATAAGCACAATCCAAACTAAGGGCAGAGCCGCGTTCTTAAGAAGAGCTTTTTTCTCACCTTCACCGCCCTAGCCACGTGAGCTAGGCCCAGAGATCACCGCCACCCGCTCTCGCGCCTTATTCTGCGTTCAAAGAAATCATTAGAGAGTCCGGCCGACCGGCGGCGCCTTGTTAAAATAGGCTGCGGCGCCAATCACGCGTCGTGGAAATGAGGGGAGGAATTAATATTACAAGAAGGCTGCGGACCGGCAGTGGGTCAGAATACAACTCGACACGCCCCACCGTCGTTCCGGTAGAGGTCAGAGTGCACAAGAAATAACGAGCAGTTTTTCTCTTTTTCTAGGCGCGGGTCAACCTTCAAAGTATTCTTCTGTTCCTTTTATAAAGACTTGAAGCAATCTTCCTGCAATCTTCTTTAATTAGTTTTCCAGATAGCCGATTTCTTGGCGAAAGTTTTTTCCGTATTTATTTTCTCATCCTTCCTTAGGAAAAGCTATGACCAAAATACTTAATTTTGTACGAGTGGATGAATCTGCCGTGTCTCGAGATTGTATCTACCTACCTACAACTATAGCATTTTACCCCATTTCATGTTTGAGCTTTGCTTTAAAATAAATTAAATCTCCCACCTGCTTGATGGTCATCATGACACCATAATTTGTACATACGTAAAGCTGAGCTTACATGCCATCGTGGCGTTTTCCAACAGAGTGCCGTGAAGAATGAAAA